CTCCATACAGAGCACGTTAGCATAGTCTCTCGAGACTGAAGGATGCCTAGCCTGACAGAATAAGCAATGTTGTTAACTCTTAAACAAACATTCTCCTTTATCCTTCTCAACCATCACTCTCCCGCCCACACTCCAAAACTCTCAATCTCCCTATCTAACTTCAACTAACTCCCTATCTAAACTCCCCCTCCTCCAGCTGAGTCTCTTTTATCTTGTGACTCGGCTCCTCCAGCACTTCCATTGGTCTACGCAGATATCATGTGAATATTCCTGACCTCGGCAGATGTTGCAGTTACTAAAGCTAGCTGGAGAAGGCTTCACCTGCTAGAAACTGGCAGAAACCAATCTCACCTTCCGCATGGCCTGAGGTCATTTGGGAAAGAAGACAAACAACATAACTTCCAGCTAACAATCAATCAGTCACCACTGGGATTTCCTGTGATGTGCATACCCATTGTCTTTGCATGCATTTGAGAATTTGAGTGTAGACTTGTTAATTGGCAGCTGGAAGTGAATTAGTGTCACTCTGTTGTATTCTGTATGCATAACAAAGCAGTAGGATTTCAGGAAGCAGCTTTTATAATCTGAAGTAAAACAGAACCATGACTTTCAGTTAAACACCAACTTAAATGCGAAGCGTCAAGGAAAGGAACACGTTAAAGTACAATACAGAAGGAAACTTTCAACAACAGAAGAGGAAGAAATTATATTTTTCTCTTTAAGAATCACATATTATTGTTGCAGAAGAGGTAGCTATATTAGTCTCCACAAGCACTATTAATAAAAACAAAATAGAAATTAAAAAATAATAAAAGACAAAAATGTGGTGGCATATTAAAGAATAAATTAATATATTTTTAATGTGAGCTTTCATGCACAAGTATGATGAAGTGGACTTGCCCAAGAAAGCTCACATTGAAATAACATAAAAGTTAGTCCTTAAGGTGCCACATTTTTGTCTTTTTACACTTTTTATTTATATTTTGCTTTTACATATTGTTGTGTAGCCCAGAATGTAACTCGGAAAAAAGGAATGTGTCCCTTAGTTTTTACAAGTAAAAATACAATCCCACATTGTTAAAGTCACTCTAAGCATATATACACATTTCAATTGCCTTCTCAGATGAAATTACACTGATATATTCATAGAATTGTAAAGAATGATCCTGTGAACTCAAAATGCAATTATTTCTTCATATCTTGCTGCTAGAGGCATAGCTCTTGAAGATTTCTGATCTGCAAAAAGGGTGACAGGGGAAGTACCTCCACCTTAGTGTTTTGTAGAATAGAAAGGTACAAATCATATGTGAGTTTATTTATGCAAGGTGTGTACTTCTTGAATAAAATTTACCTTTGAAACAAAATTCCAACAGTCACGCCAAGGTTTTAGAGAGATCCAAAACAATGGATAAATCACTAAAGCTGTCATGATCTGATTCAGTTCCACACACACACACCCCAAAAAAAACTGAGAGAAGATACTGTATAGACATCTAGATATCAACTACTATATTTTGAATCTTCTTTCCCCACAAAATGGCACGAACCTTAGGGGCATGGATGATGGTAAGTTAAGCAGGGATAAAAGAGCAAAACCGAAGACATATTGACTGAGTGAGGGAATTTTGCTCAAAAAATCAGGGGAATGCAACTCTTTACTCAGTCCAATAGCTGCTTCTGATCAGAATTATGCCAAAGAAGGGAAAGGCTGAATTGCCAAATATTTACTTTTGAATTTAGTGTTGTCAGCATGACATATTGCTACACTTACTTTCAAATAGTCTCAGTCATTGCTTGGTGGTATTCTACAAGTGACTCCCAGCATATCACTGAGCAATGAAACATGCTCAGAAAAATTTGAATGTTAGTTAGTTGGCCCAAATGGTGTTTTGCTAAACTGTAGCAGAATGATCATAAGTCCATCACCACAAGGGCACAATCAAGAAGGAAGTGGGACTCCTACAGAAGCAACAAGTAACTGCCATAGTAAAATCCTGGTACTAAGGAGTAGTATTTTCTGATTTAGCACACTCAGTTTCAAGAATTTTTTTGAGGTAGATTATAAGATAACACCTCTAAGCTAAGAATAGTGATAGACGATACAGGTTCTATGATTTAAGAAAACAGTTAACCCTCCTATTTTATATTGAAAATTTTGAAAGAATGCAGTATTCTAACGGAAGATGTTTGTGACACTGACCACTAGTTTCCTTAATTTTTGCAGCAGGATTAGCAGGATTAGCAGGTTCATTTTTTATTTGTTTGAAAATATTAAAAAAATTTAAATGCAGACAAAAAATATGTTCACATGTATTACCAGAACTAGAGGGAATTCTTGTTGTTAAAGAATACACAGTATGGTCTCTGCCACCCTTTAGGCCAGTTCTGGTAATCCACTTGAAAATAACTTTTTTTGGTTTTTATATAGCATTATCCACGGTGTTCAGCATCCATGGGGGAGGAACCAATCCCCCATAGATATGGAGATCCTACTGCACCAGGGGAAAAAAACAAACCAATGTGATTTTGGTTTGGTTGTTCATTAGAGCCAGGATAGGATAGAGAGAAACATCATTAGATCACCATAATTCCAAAAACATTAACTCAGGATTTTCTCAGAAGCAGCAGTATTACAAACAGCAATGATTTCTCAAATATATGGTAAGCAACCTATTCCCACAATAAGGGGTCTTTTTTCTTTCCACTCCTCTTCTTCCTTCTCCTCTTTTCCTCCATCCACTCTAGGATTAATCTGCCCCATCTGTATGTGCGTGTTTTAAGGATTATTGCTGTTAGTTTTAATATCTCTATTTTTATTTTTGTTTTCTATTTTATTTTTGTTTTCTACATGTTGTAACTGCCCAGGGTAGTGCTGTGATACTAATGGGACTGGGATAAAAATCAATCAATCAATCAATCAATCAATCAATCAATCAATCAATCAATCAATCAATCAATCAATCAGAGAGGTAAAATCATAGTCATAAATCTTCTCCCCCCAGATCTGCTACAAAAATGATTTAATTTTTTTCCCTAGCGGCAGTGCCCACAACACAGATAGCCGAGGCCATTTTCAAATAGATCTAAAGAACTCCTCTCATCCAGGAACACAAAACAAATCCAGAAAACTGTGGCTTCTATTATGTTATTATGCTACAGTAAGACTTAAGGTCTTATAGTACCTTTATGATTATATATGAACTTGAGACAAGTAGTTTTGAAGATCTAAACTGGAAGGTTATTTTAATGTCACAAATCCCATGTACGTTCTTGCTGCTTCCCTAACTACTATGAATCACTTTTTAAGATAAAAAGGGCCAATCTATTATTCTAATATCCATCACTTAACTGACAGCCTACTCATTCTTCTGATATTTGGTAACCAACAATGTTTACACAAGAAAGAAATATGCAATATTTCTTACACTTACACACAATGCCTAAAAGAATAAAATGATATAGTTGTAAATGTTACCCAGAATGGAAAGGGAGCAATAAAGATGTACTAACTGAGTGAGACTTTTATATATTAAGTGAATGAGGTTTTGTCTGCATCTTTTAAACATATTAATGAAAATTTTGATATCAGAAGCAATTTTGAGGGGACAAGTATATTTTATGTTATTCACATAACAGAGATTAATTGGAATTAAAATTACATCTGTAAATTCTATAACATAGGGGTCCCCAACCCCTGGTCCGTGGCCCAGTGCTGGTCCATGGGCTTCCTGGAACTGGTCCGCGGAGATGGTTCTCCGCTCACCCCCGCACACACACACAGTGGCCATGTTGCGCTTGCCGAGGGGTGTGTCGTGCTCACAGGTGGGCATAACATGCCCACCCATGAGCAGAGGGCTGCCCCGCCCCCCCTTGTGCATGGAACCCACACCTCCCAACCAGTCCGTGGTCCCAAAAAGTTTGGGGACCACTGCAATAACATGTATGTGAGAAGAGAGGTTACTTACCTGTAACTCTGGTTATTCAAGTGACCATCTGGGAATTCACACAATCTGATACATTCTATAACACAATTTAAAAATGGGGGCAATACCAAATTCAGCACAGTTGGAGCAGTCTGCTCTTGCTATGATCCACATTTGAAGACGTTTGGGCAATTGGTTTTCAAGTTATATTTTGTTCAGCAATAAACGACAACAAAAATATCCCCACATTTAAATAGCTCATATAAAATATCAAATTGTTGGCTCTGGCTGTTTTTTTTAAATTTGGAAAGAATCAATACCATTTTTTGAGGGCCAGTACTTCAAGGCTGAAATACTGGCCCTCAAAAAAGACCTTTCAAATTAAAGGGAATAATCAGGAAAAACAGCAACTTTGTTAGAAGACTGAGCATGTGTGGAACAAACTTGCCAACAAAAACTTTGCAAGGTAGATACATGGTTGAAGCTTTGAGGGCAAGGGAAGGGAGATGCTTGGAGAGTTGGAGGGCAGTTATTAAAGGTCACAGCAAGTAAGGAGACAAAGCAAAAGAAGTGCAATATGCAAACAATACTCAAGCTATTCTTGAAATACTGGATATGTCCTCCTTTTCTCAACTATAGCAATCTCCTAGACTAAGTTAAAATACCAATTATGGAATGGATATTAAAAGCAACTTATTCTCACTCCATAACTAAAAGATATCCTTTTTACTTTTTAAAAGTTGGAAAAGAATTTTTTAGAAACAGAGTCCATATTCTCCAAAATCTATTTCCCATCATCATTCACATCTTGTGGAGTTGGCTGCCATTATGAATGTCTTTTCACAGAAAGAACCGCAGAAACAAATTTAAAACTTGTCTTAGACAACACACTTGCACCAAGGTTATTTTCCTTTCCCTTTACAACAGTGTTTAAGGGACCTAGCTATTTATTTTTCAGACCATATAGGAAGATTGCATTGTTATATTTAAGCAAATGACAACCAAAAGAAAGCTAATTATTTCCAATATTAGTTGAAAATAAAACTGCATGATTAAGGAATTTAAGAAGCTTCTTACCAGCTCACTGCTAGATCATGTACTTTCAAAGTGTTGCTCAGCCTATATACTCCAGACTTTAGTGGGCGCACACATTCCTTTGCACGTGCAAGGTAAGGATTCACTTGAATATCTTCAGGAAATTCTGAATCCTACATTTTAAAAAAGCAACAAAATAGTATTTAGTTAAATTGTATATGTCACCAGAAGCAGAGTTCCCTTCACAGTAAAAAAGATGTATGTTTATCCTAACACTAAGATTTCTCACTTTCAGATGCTGAAAATTAGCTTATTTTTGTTTTATGATTTGTCACAAAGAGGTAAACATAATCTTCATCTGATCAGAAACAAAGCTTTAAAGGAACTGAATTCCTGCAGAAAAAAAAATATATGTTCTAATTGTGAAGGGGATGTCTTTTCTAACTTAACCACGCTTGCCTACCACTACTGATGTTCTTTTGCCTTCAAAGCCACAGGGGAATGTTGGGTGTGTTCTAGTTATGATTTTTTAAAAAAAGTAAAACTGTTATACTCCCCACTGAGAAACAGATGACCCTAAACGTCCCCAGATGTAAAACAGATTGCAAAAATGCCAATCTTACTTATCTTGAAAGGTCACCCCCATCCAATTTTTTCTTATTTGGAAAGAATCTTAGCTGCAGGGGTTGAAATATTGATCCTCAAAAAAGGGGGAAACAGCCACTCTGTAAGACTGAACATGCATCATACAGGTTTTCTAGCAGGAGCTTTGTGAAACAAAACATTGTATATATTCATAGGCAGGAGAAGGAGATATTTAGAGAGAAATTTCATAGAAATAGATTGAGAAGACAGATTTAACAGATTTTTTAAAAGATTTAAAAACTTTTCTCTAAAAAGTTATTTAAAAGCAGCTTTGCTTTAAAGAAAGCAATGGAGTGACACTCCTCCGGAAAGGGGGATATTTTGACATGTATCTTTAGTAAACATTGTCTCATGATTTCTGAGACCAAACAGTCTCCTCACATACATTTTCCAAGGGGAAATCAGGTTTACCTGGGGCAATCTGAACTTTTGACCCTATCAATCAGGATATAGCTGGTTCTTAGCTAGCTTTTTAACCTTTTAACTCCTTCCTTGCCAAACAAGCTTATCAGAATCATGCTTGCAAGGGGATTATGCATCTGGTTGTAAAAATGGAGACAGAAAAATAATATAAAAAAATTTTAAAATACAGATTTTGAAAATATTTTAAAAACTATTTTAAATAAAGAATACATAACACTCATTTAAGCTGTGAAAGCACAATTTTTTGTTTTGTGGCAGAGGATGGTCTTATATGATGTTAGCAGAGCTTTGGTGCCTATATTCTGTTGTAGTCTCCAATCAAAGTCCTCATTTCACCAATCTTGTAACTATACAATTGTTTGGCAAGTAAAAAAAACAAACTCCAAAAATGTCACATGCCATCAAGTTACTTCTGATGTAACTATATGAGTTAATGAACTCCCAAATGTCCTAGCATTAACAGCTCTGCTCAAACCTATAGCATCTCATTAGGCTGTGCTTTCTTTTTACTACCTTCTTCCCAGCAATTCTGTATTTCTCAATATGTTCTGCTCAGGACTTGCAAATTAAACACCCTGGATTACTTTGCTGAGTCAATCCATCTCATGTTAGGTTCTCCTCTTTTCCTACTCCCTCACTCTCTTTTTCCGGCAATATTGTCTTTTCTAGTCAGTTCTGTATTCTCATTATATGTGCAAGGTAGGATAGCTTCAATTTAATCTTTTTCTTGTTGTTCTAGTGCGAATTCAGGCTTGACTTGATTAAGCACCCATTATTTGCCTTTCTGGTGGTCTATTGTGGGGAAATGCCCCTCCCCAAAGTTGCTAAACTGTTGGCTTAATCTACAGTAGAGGGCAAACTCTCCTTGATGACATTACAGCTGCTTCTGGGAGGAGCTGCCACCTATTCTTCTTCTTTTTCATAGGTGATAGAGAGCTTGCTTAATTGCCTTTCGTTGGGCCAATCATAATGGCATTATGTAACCATTGCCCTATCTGAACTCTGTCAACTATCTGTATACTGTCAACTATCTGTGAGCTTGTAAGGTTAATAAAACACAGTCCTCCTGGGGGCAGGGCAGTTGTCTTGTATGAGGTCCTCTCCTTCTAGTAGCCCATCAGGAGCACTGCTAGCAGACATCCATCCTTGTGTGTGCCTGACTTCTTTGACTTCTCTAAGACTATTTGCTATCCTAATTACTTGTGACTACATAGACTATCAGCCTGCTCATTTCGTGACTCCAACAGTCTATCACATTGTTTTTCAAACTGAGGTCCCCAGATGTTCTTGGAATGCAATTCCCAGAACCATTTGCCACTTGCTGTGCTGGCCAGGATTTCTGAGAGTTACAACCCAAAAACGTCCGGGGACCCCAGTTTGAAAACCACTGGTTTATAGTATCAGTAAGGCCCATTACACATGAATTGATCTCCTCTCTTATCTTTCTTTCACATAGTATGGATGATGTTGACCTTGGTTTCCCATGAAAATCTTGGCTAACCTCTAGCCTCTCCATCTTCAATTTCAAAAATGAGTGGGCACCTTTTGGAAAACATGCATGCAATATTTGTAGAACAAGGGTTTAGAAATTGCAAGATAGATTTCTAGTCTGCATTCTGCAGACAAGGCAGGGTAACATTAACTTACCCAAGAGATAAAAGGGTCTGTGTGTTTCTCTGTTGCATGTGTTTCATTCACTCATGCTTTTGCTTCATAATTTCATTAAGTCCAAAATAGCCCTTCAAAATATTTTTGCACAGAGGGACTGCAGCAACATATCAACTGTTCTTACTCCTGTCCTCCCCCAGCAACCAAAGTACAGATCATGTGTTCATTCTTCAGGAATCTCTACCACTGGGTAATTCTATATGGGGCAAATTTCTGATTGAATTTGTATGTAGCATATGTATATTTAAACTCCAATTTTAAAAAGCCAGGAAATTCAATTCTTTAAAAAAAAACCTCCCGTTTATGAATACGGGATATTGTGCTTCTATGCCCACAATTGAAAAAGCCAGGAAACGGCCCAATATTGCTGCACAATATCATGCCTGTTGTAATATGCAATCTGTAACATGTCCTTTCTCTTTAATGAACAAGCTTGGAAGGAACCTCATGTGTTCCCTATAGTCAATCACCTTTATAAATGTAGCTTTGTTTCACCCTCAAAACATACACACACCCTCCCTCGGATGGTGCGATACTATATGCAAGGCATAACCTTTGTGTTTGCCTATCTATTGGCGTTACCTGAAATGCTGATGCATATGTTGCTCAATTAGTATATAGTATGTAATGTATATGTTTTTAGATGTTATGTTTATTTACTAGGGATCCCCGTGTACCTTTTCCTAAGAGGCTTAGTAAAGTATATATTTAAGACAACGTATCTTGGTGTCTGGCAACCTCCTTTATAAATTACACAACAATGCCCACATTACCAGCAGGAAAAAAGAATGTCAAGCTTTACATAGAAAAGGGCAGCCTGAATGTTGACACCACTGGCAGCCATAACACAGTCTACAGTATACACTCCTGTGCTCACTACCATTCACAAAGAGGCATGAAGCAGGGGGAAATTGCTGAACTTGACTCCTTTTTTCATCAGTGAACTACTTCTCACCCAAACACAAAGTAATTATTCAGGGCTGATTTCCTGGAAGTTCTCTAAGTATCAAAATGCCTAGAAGAAATGGTAGTGAAACTGTGCACTGTTGTTTGTGTGTGTGTTTGTGTGTGTGTGTGCGTGTTTTAAATCATTCAACCAGAAAAGTGTTATATGGGAAGAGAAATAAATTGAAGCCAACATATTTGATGGATTACTGCCCTTTTTGTATGCTTGCCCTGCTCTTCTTTAAGGTCTTTACTTAGAAAGTTTGCCTCCCTTATGAGATGAATGTGTGGCGACCAAGTGAGGGCCTTTTTAAAAGAATGGCCTTCTTCCCTTGAGACATCTCCCTGCTGCTTATGTCAGGACCTTTTCAGCAACATATGAACACTTTTTCATTTCCCCAAAACATTTAGATTGGAACAAAAGCTGTCTTTCCTTCAAGGGATTTAACACCCTTCCTAGATTGATGTCATGATTCATGGTACTCTATGGTGGCTTTGTACTATTTATTTTATTTTGTTTGCTTGTTTGTTTGTACGTACGTACGTACATACTTTTGCACTATTTATTTTATTTTGTTTGTTTGTTTGTTTGTTTGTTTGTACGTACGTACGTACGTACGTACGTATGTATGTATGTGTGTATGTATGTATATACGTACAAACATACATACCCCACCTTTCTCCTGAAAAGGGACTTAAGGTGGCTTACATCAAGATAATATTTAAAGCTAAAAACAATGAGTATAGAAATATTAAAAAGGAGAAAACAAATACTATTCTAAGAAATTGTAAACAAAAGCAATACTAAAACATATTCAAAGCAGTAATGCATAAGCCGCCCAGAGACCTTTGGGTAGTGTGGGCGGCATATTAAATAAATAAATAAATAAATAAATAAATAAATAAATAAATAAATAAATAAATAAATAAATAAC